TATTATGCACATAATAGTTAATACTCAAGACAAACACAAGTCGCTAATATCAATGCTATATGATACCACAAATATACCTGCCGTGTATACATACATACAATGTCCTGTAATAGACCGGTAGTTTGTTTCCTTCTCACTGTTGATCGATCATGGTATGCACCTTGTCGTTCTAGTCAAAGACGGTAAAACAAGACGAGCTGTGGTGGTCACATATCATACGCACAAGCAGCTATTTGGTATTTGGGGGATGTGGGACTAGTAAAAGAGAGAATTTTTAAGAGAGAGCAGGTGACGGTGATCGCATTTCTTTAAAGGTACTAGTTCGTTCATGTTAGGGTTTTAGAGAAAAAAAGAGACCATGCCGTATATGGCTATTTGCTGTTGCTCACATCATTTTCCCAGCATGTTCTAGCATGTATCATCATCGTGCACATCCTCCCTGTCCCGCCCCTCCAGTTTTTGGTTAGGCGAGAAGTTGCTTTGTACTTGTAGCCGTCACTATAACATTATGCATACACACATTCACTGTGCAAAAAGTTGGAGTAAGAGGACGTGATATTATCATTTACTGGGCAGAGCTACTGTTTCCTTGATCAATGATAAGCATCTCTTGCTGCGAGAAAGAACACGTAGCAGAGGGGATTAGTAGCATGAATGTTTTTTAGTGTATCTTGGCATGAACTATTTTTTAAAACTTTTTTTGAATGTAAGCTGTCGTCAACACGTTGCATTGCAGCAAAAACCATAAAGCTACTACGTGTATCGATTGGCGCTATAGTTACATTATTGCATATATATATATTACATGTCACCTATGTAATCATCCATCATGACACTAAGAAAACATGCACAGAGAGAGGGGGTGGTGGTGGTGATTAAACTTAGGTTGAGGGAGAAAAGTAACTGTAACAATACTCTTAATGTTCATTTAGTTTATGTTTACACGAATTCTATTTCGTCCTTCCTCTCCCTGTCCCCACTCCCTCTGCTTTCTCTCCTCACAGTCTATAGATAACAAAAAGATAAAGCATATGGAAGGTTATATATCCTTAAGGCCCCCGTAGCATATAATCTTGAATCTAAAATTGTCATGCATTAGTGTAGTATGGTGGTGGAGTGTAGCAAAAGTAGTAGGGATGGGTACCCTCTCAGCACCACGGACAATGATAAAAAAACTACTACTAGCAATCGCTAGAAAAATATTTTGGAACCTTTTACCAAATATGTCTGTTTCTTAGGGTGGTGGGGGGTGGGGTTAAAAGCACGAAGGAGAGTGGGAAAGAGAGGACTTTAAAGAGTGACCTCATTCTTAGAATGTTAAGGTACCACCGTTCAACACGTATGACATACTACGTGGATGATAGTAATGATGATAGAGATGGTGGGTGGTATTATGCGCTGCTGCTTGTGTTGTGGTGGTGCTGTTAGTTACCTATAACGCATATTATGCAGCTCAAATATGTTTAGCGTGTGAACCTTGCTTTACAATAATAACATGTAACATCAGTAGAGTCAGGATAAAAGAGACTATCTCTGTTTAAGATTCGCATCGGGACAATGTACAAGACAATTCGAGAGCGTTCGATGTTGGTTGCTCTAACAAGCATAATTCCTGGATGATAATATCATTAGGTTCTGCACTTGATTGAAGCAATAGAAACATAATAAACATAGCCATCACAGGGCAACAATTCGCCGACACCATCGTCATCCGCCCCTTTCCCCTTCCAAAAGTCGCAGCACACGTTAGGCACCGCACCGTAGGGAGCATAAATAGCGCACTGTAGTATATATCATCAATACAGTAACTAATATTAGCACATAAAGATTCTAACTGCCGCATCAGTAGTCAGTAACAACAGATATAACATTTCTAACAATGACGCATTGATGACTTGATATTCAGAAGAGCCAAGAGCACCCTATTACACTTCAACTACTGGTATCTGATCATAACATTTTCTCACCGGCGTCATTAATAACAATCTTTTCTCGGGGGAAGAAAAGATGGGGGAAATTGCTAGTATCAATGCTGGTCATCGGATAAACAAATTAGTACACATGCACAGAGTGACGGTCAGTGTAGAAGGGGGCAGCATGATTCACTGTCACAATGTATGGATCAATGACCAAAATACAAGATATGTACCTGCACGGCACATACAGAAGAGAAAGATGGGGGAGGATTGTCAAAAAAATGACTTTAGCTGCTGCTGCTGCTGCTGCTGCTGATAATGAACATCATCGTGCACTTTTCATTAATGTTTCTGGGACATAGGACGGTTGATAAACGCATACATTCGCAGCATATGTTGATTTGTTTCCGTTCCTTGCTACATATTCATTCATGTTGTATCGGTAATTTGATCGGGATGGTCCTGTTCAGAATAATTGTACGTGGGCGCGCGCACACAAACAGACAACCACGCGCATCCTGCATAGAATAAAACGGTACAACTATCAATTAGCTATACACACCAGCAACACCTTGTAAAATAGCACCGGCATCAACAGATGGAGTATGGTATGCTATGTATCATCAATAACACACGGTAATCAATCATCCACTTGGCTATTATTGTTATCATCATCCATCATCCTCATCATCAGAAGCGTGTAAATACAATGCCCCACCCCCCTCAAAGTCTTTTATGCACATGTAAATTATGCAGAGCACCAAACCTTTTTATTTTCGAATGCTGCTACTATGCCGCCCTTATGTCTATCACATACTCTATTAAACTTACCGATATACTCCAACGCAGCAGAATGAGCCAAAAAAGAGCTCAGCATGTCATGCTCGTGTTTGTATCAAAAATAAACCATGATCTCATGTACTAAGAAATGCTAAATGGTTGGGGAACCCAAATTCTATTAACACAAATCGGGTCGGGGTCGTCGATCTTTTTCTCTCTTTCTATACTCTTTTGACGGCCCCGTCTTCCCGGTGCACCGGTGCATTATCTCACTTTCTCTTCATCTCCTCCCCTCCCCCTATATAACAACTAACTTCCCCCCCCACATCTTAAAAATACAACAACAAAAGAACTGCTATTTTTATCTAAAAGGGAAATATCGGTATACTCTTCAAAAGGAAGGTACCATGAAATCAGTAGTGCAATACAGTTCATTGTAAACCCTGAAAGAAAAATAAGTCGTGAATGGACTTGATGATGTTGTCATAGTTCTGCTGCATACTCCCCTTCTCTTCTTACATAGCTCCTGATTCACATCTTCTCGATTTTCTCCCCCCCCCCCAATCATTCCCCCAAATATACTGCCAAGATTTAATTGTCTATTTGGATGTTAAAGGGTCTTTCGACTTCGGGGAAATATAAAATGGTTTGCTAGAATATTATCACTATCATCTATCAGCAGTATGCAGTAGTGCTATTAATCATAGGATACATCATATCATTGTGATATCAACAGAAAATTACGTATACCTTATGCATGACCGTGCTAAACTACTTGATCTTCTTGAACATTTGAGGACTGATATAATGCTACCAAGACTTCTGGATTACAGCAAAGTGTGTTCTAAGGCGCATGCAGCAACACCCACCGACAACAGCCTTTGGTGGTACAGTAGTAATGCCTGATTACCGGAGATCTGATAATTCCAGATTGGTGCAATGATCGGTGCGTTGCTTCTTGAAAATTGGTAGCATTACGCGTTTCCATGTGCGCACACACACACATACACACACACAAAGAGGCATAGTATAAAATAATGTCAACAAGTTCTTCATTGTTATCGCTTACTTTCTCAAGTTTTCTGGGACAAGGCGAGGGGTAGGATGCATGGAGAAAAGAAAAATAAATTGCAAGTAAGAAAAGGGCGTCAATTACTAGTAGATTTATCGAGAACATTCTCAGTTTAGCGGTTTTGGCTGTATCGTCAAATAAGTATAAGCGACTCCATGTATTTTTTTTTTTTTGGTCCGAATTTCTAGATGTTTCTTACATCATTCGATTCTTTTCTCCCTATCGTCTTCTCGGTTACAACCTCTCAGCTCTTTTCACTGAATCCAAAGAAAAGATAAATCTACAACATCAACTAGGCCGCTTATTGTTCGACCAAAGATTTAATTTTATACTCGACAAGAGACTGTATGGCGTGACGATGAGTCGAGGAAAAAGAAAGCAGATAACTAGTTTCGAAACAGATGTAGACAAGCTAATAATTTCAGTAGTATTGACGTCATTGAGACATGTATATTGCCCAAGGCAACGAAAAAATTACTAATGGCTTATCCGTAAAAAAACAGATAGGAAGCAATATGTTGCGTCAGGATAATGTGTAACAATTATTGATGAGAACGAGCTAGGACGAATCAGTACAAAAGGCGCAACACGAAGCATGGATACCCTAATAACCTATCCTTGAATGTTTTGGGATGCATTTGCGACATTTTTAAACGCAATATGAGCAGTATTTACAAGCACTAAAGAGCATGTTAAAGCATGTGAAGGTTTTCTATCATACATGTGTGTAGAGCATACATATAGTACCTAAGTACATATTTCAAATAGAAGCCGAGCAGCTGTATTACTGTCCTCGCAACTGTGCAAAGAAATTGATATTGCACTACAGGAACTGCTGCTGCTGCTGCTGCTACTGCATCATATTATCTCTGTCACACACATCATAAACTTACAAAGCATGCCAAGACAAGAGATATGTGACTATACTGCTCATATATAGAGCGGGTCAGAGTTTGAGAAAATGTATCCTGGTCCAACCGATCTCGAATTAAATAGCGACGAAGTCTTTTATTTTCTTTTTTGGGTGTTGGACCATGTTTCTTCATATATATAATTACAAGACCTTAAATGGCCAAGAAGAGTGGCAACAGCAATTTGGATAGCTTCTACGTTAATAACCATCATCAAGTTTATACCCTCTAGAGAAAATGTCTTTTTGCTTCCCCCGCATATTAATTCTTCATGAAAACGTGGCGTGTTCCGTACCATTTTACTTGGGTTTGCGCATATAACAGCAAGTGATGGTATTGCATGTGTACATGTACTTTTGTATTCTGCTCACCATCTTCTTTTATTGAGAGAACTTTTTTTTTTTTCAAAAGTAAAGAAGGTCGCTATGGTTGAGCGTGTGAGGCACACTGTTTCATGCAGAAAAATTCCGGATTATTGGGTTGGGGGTGGGGGGGGATTCAGCCCTGTTAACTCTATTGTTGTGTTTCTGTAATTTAAACACACATGTTGCACCGTACGATCCGAAGACTCATCACGGTATCCAGGGCCGAGGCTGCCCAGGGCACGCGTAAACGGCCCATGCCTGTGTTGTTTGTAGGCACTGACACTACACCGGCGTAAGTCAAACAAACAAGAGTAAAAGACATTGTCCATCTTGACAGTGATTCCTAATTATTTTTAGCTTAACACAACGATGGCAAACGCTACTATCAGAATCAGGATTTGATTCCGCTACTGCACAACTCGGAATTAGCAACAACAAAGATCCCCGAGATGGCAATGCGTTGCTACAATCGTGGTATACAGGTAAATCCTCTTCTTTACAGAACAGAATACAAGAGAAAGGTGTGACACAGTAACAGAACGAATACGTTGTTAGATTTGGATGCCAAAGTACGTGACTTGGCCATGTTTCCACCCGTGCTTATCGGCCACGGCGAAGCTGCTTGGCGTCTGTGTCAAAAGTACGTTGCTAACCAGCCCCTTTCCGGATTAATCCTGATCGATGGCCCGAGTGCCGTGGATCCCAAAACGCTCCCGTCGTTTGAATTCGAGCCTTATTTTCCCATCCTGGCCGTATCGCGAGCGCCCAGCTTCCTCATTGAAAGCGAGGTGGATATCATCAAAAAGGACGGCGACGACGATGAAATGGACCAAGTGCTTGAATGGATTCAAGAGTGTTTTTAAATAAATTAGAGCCCTGATTGCCTTGCATAGCACACACACACACAGACACAGCAAGCCTAAAAGCGGGATTTACTGTCTTTGCCCCAAACTTACGCGTGCTCTTACCACACTCCTCTCTTTGCTCGTATCTCTATTTAAAGGGACTCCGTGTATCTTTATTTTCTTTATATTAAATACACATATACGCAAAGAAATGACCAGTGCCAGTAGTAACGGTAATCGGCTGGCAGCGGAAGGGTATTGGGGACCCATTACGAGTTCAGTTGATTGGTAAGGAATGGAGCATTGACATTGGGCAAAAAAAAAGTTTCCCAAAACCGTGGATCCTTCAACCCGGTTGTGAAGACGAAAGAGGGGAGAACCTCTAAAACAAGGTTTTGGTTTCTATGACTACAACAACTTTTGCTCTATAGGTGCGAGGATAACTACACTTACAGCCACTATGTCGCCGAATTCTGGAACACCGTTTCGGTAAGCTGGTGAACGGTGTGTGGAAAAAAGTTGAGTGTATAGCAGAAATATAAACTTTTTTTTTTAGAGTTTGGCAATGATTTTCCTTGGCTTGTTGGGGGTGGCACTTCACCATCGTAGTCTCGGGTGGCGTCTATCCGGAAGCTATCTTTTGATTGTTGTAGTCGGGATCGGCAGGTATAGGAAGGAGGAAGAAGTGGGGGGGGGAAGGGTGTTCAAGTAAACGCCATTTCGCAACAGTAGCAGCAGCAGCAGCAGTAGCACTTAATAACCTGACCCAAAACAGCGTACTCTTCCATGCAACCTTACAGTTTGAGCACCAGATGTGGGATGAGGTCCGGCTTTGCTATCATTGATTATGCCCGACATGTAATACATGTGTGTGTGTGTGTGTTTAAAGTTAACAAATACATGTCTGTTAGGTCCCAATGGTATGGACAGCATGCTACTTATTCTACGTCTTGCTCGATCAACACGGCTACCGCGGTCCATTCTATGCCATCAGCATCACCCTGTATTGCGCCCTCGCAACCTATGTGACCAGTCAATCCAAGGGAACCACCCAGTTCTTCATGTTTCAATCCTCGTAAGTTTCAAGGATAGTTGTTGTTGTTGTTGTTCTCCTCCCCCACACCCCCCAACAACCGATCTCGTTGTTGATTGGAAACATTACAGATTTGGCTGTGTCATGTGGGGCTGTCTGTGGTTTGTACGGAAAATGTACCGAGCCACGCAAAATCAGGAAATCGTCCGGCTTTTCCATCGAGGTGCTCAGTTCCTTGCACTCGCTCTGGGTGTCTGGCTGTTTGACAAGAATCTGTGTTTTGTTTACCAAAAGTATAACCTGTACAATCCCCAGCTCCATGCATGGTAAGGCACTTTTTAATAAGGAGCTGAAAAGAGGAGCGTTACTACTACTCGGGAAAGGAAAGGAAGTGGGGGGGGGGAGTAAGAGGCCCAATCGTGTGGGATACTAGGCGACACATCATCCACCAATTCATACAGAGTGCTGAAGGCAAAGCAGAAATACGCTAAAATCAGAATATATAAGAGAGGGTTGTTGAAGGGGGAACAGAGAGAGAGAGAGAGAGATAAGAAGAACGCGCATGTTACTGTGATCTTTAGTACATACATGTGCGTTCGCGTGTGAAGACAGATATGCTGACTTGTTCTCACCATGCTTATTTTACACGCCCCCTTTCGAAATGTTGTTTGTAGGTGGCACGTTTTAGTAAGTTTTCTCTTTCTTTGCTTCGTGATGGAGGATCTGGGGGTGCCGTTGATAGAAAACAAACCCAAAGCATGTTACTGAACTCGTAAAAACAACTTGTGCAGATGTGCACCAGTTTACACTTCTTCTATGTCGCATGCGGACACCAGGTGGCATTGGAGGAGGAGCAAACACAAGGAAGAAATAAGCCTGAGATTTGTTATTTCGGTCATCTGATTCCATATGTCCGGGTCAAGGATAAGGTCAAATAATAGTAGTAGTGGTAATAGTAGTGGTAATAATACATAATAATAATAAGGTTGTGATTGTACCCGACACCATGGGATGGTCCCTCTTTTCCGATCTAACTCTACTGCTATTAAAGCACAACCCCCCCCCAGACCCCACCCCTTCCTTTACCATGAACTATTTGACCTTTGACAAGGTGGTTTGTCCTTGAAAAGAACGAGGAGAACAAAAGAAAAGGATAGGAGGAGGTATGTAGTAGAGACGGGAGTGCTATACAGTATATTATGTAGACAGCCAAGGTAGTAGTAGTAGTAGTAGTAGTAGTAGTAGTAGTAGTAGTAGCAGCAGCAGTCGTTTTCTCTCACTCCTCACACACCGCTTGTCGAGTGTTTTAACAGCGGTGTGAGTTCGTTTAGTAAAAGGTGCAATTTCCCGCTGAAATCCCAAATGGTTATTTTGCCATCACAGAAAATCATCGAACAAATTTTTTCGACCTGGTTGATTAATGAATTTTTCTTTTTTGCAGGAAAGGCGGTGTAATGTGACACCTTTTTTTTTTTTTGTGCAAAAGACGCTAGGGCGCGCCCTTTACTTTTCTGTCGATTAAAATAGGAGCGATAGCACACACACAAAGTTGGGGGTGGTTTGGTGGGTGATTAAACGTGTAGCTTACACCACGAGAGAGAGTGAGTGAGAGAATGGTGGGACATACCCACCCACCCACCCACCCCCCTTAACTCTCTGCAAACGCAAACTCTACTCTGAGACTAAAGAAGGCCAAGACCAGGAAGACCGAGATCCCCCACTCGTGACGAAAACGAAAAGATGGGCATTTTGCCTGATATGGAAATGTGCGCTAATCGATCGTTATGGCTAAATCCCATCTGGCCCCCACCCAACCACCCACCCCCCCTTGTGCATGAATATGCGATTTATATTCATGTTTAGCACCCACCAGCGCAAACCTTATAATTTCCCACCTGCAGACAACGTATAAAAAGCACTCGTCCTTTTTCCGTCTCTTTTGTGTCCTTTTTTCTCTCTTTCCTCATTTCCGCCCTTTTTTGTTCCTGCTGCCTTTTTGCTTCTTTTGTCTCTTTTCGAGTCTTTTATCTGCTCTGAAAATTCTATACTTGCTTTAAAACTCTCTCTCTCTCTCTCTCTCCTCTTTTCTTTCTTTCTTTTTTTTTTCATGGAAACCTACGTCGGCCACATCAAAACACCGCAGGACGCCCTCATCGTCTTTGAAGCATGCCGTCGCGGCCAGCTCAGTCGGGTCCAACGCCGACTGTCATCCAAGGAGCGCTCTAAGATCGAGTCTGGCTCAGTCTTTGCATGGGACGAGCGCGAGGCGGGCATGCGTCGCTGGACGGACGGCCGCACATGGTCGCCCAGCCGTGTCCTCGGCAGCTTCCTCACATACCGCGAGCTCGACACCAAGCGACGCCCGCGACGCAATAAGACGACGCCCATCTACTCGTACAAACAGGACGGCTTGATCAAGCAATCGTTCTCCATCTGCACTGCGTCAAATCAAAAGCTGCATTTGATCTCCTACTATACCAAGGCAGACGTGATCGCCGGAAGACTCGCCTTGCCCTCCGCCGATCCTTTCCTGAGCTCCATCTCAGTGCCCAAGGGCCTCTATCCGGAACTCAACCCTCTCGAGACCAGCGGCGGCCATTCCGCCACCATCCACAGCATGCTCAGCAAAAAGATAAGCCCTTCGCCGCCATCGCTGTCCTCATCGCCCATTTCCTCTGACGAGGACATTGCTGTCGAATGTCCTCCATCGCCCGTCATTTACTATACCCCACGCGCGCCTCTCGTGCAACACAGCCACCACAGCGAGCAGGAGCAGCTACAGCAGCAGGAACGACCGCCGGCGTCGTGTCGACCGCTCCAGTGCAACACGACAGCACTACCGTCACCCCCGTTGCTGCCACTGCTTCATATCAACTCGCCTACATCATCGTCCGAAGACGCGCGTCAGCTCAAGGCTCTAGAGTGTCAGTTGCGTCTCTGAAATCTTTCTTTCTATTTCTACAATTAATACATACCCTTTCTCTTCTTTTTCTTCTTCTTCTTCTAAACGCATCGCAAACAAAGCCCTTCCAATCTTCTTCCTGTACAGAACCCTTAAAAAAGTACCTGCACAACAAACAGGTGCACACATACACACACACACACACACACACTCTCTCTCTCTCTCTCTCTCTCTCTTTGCACACTACACACGCCATAATATACATATGCCCTTGCCTTTCTTTTGAAATTAATTCTTCTTAAAAACAAACGACAACATTGAAAGAAAAAAAACTGTGGTTAACTTTTTTTTTTCGTTGGGGAAACACACACACACATACACACATAAGCGCGGTGGTACGTAAAAAAAAAAATAAGAAACAAAAAACAGCGGTCCTTTTTAACATGCATGCAATCACACACACACCTCTTTAAAGCAACAAGCAGCCCACGCTCACTCTATTAAACAACACACGCTCCTATCATCCTTTATTCCTATATTTTTCATATATGTTGCAGAAATAAACCTTCCAAAGAAGAGCACCGTCCCTTTTCTCCTGTGTATACTCTTTCTCTCTGTCCGTCTCATTTAGAGTGTTCTAGTGCTTTTTCATATGAGCAGATAGATAGATACATGGTCAAGTGTGTATAGCAATCATTGGGGGGTGGGCGTTCAAACGATTTCCCCCGATCCACAGAAGCAGAATCCCGATATGGCATACATCGAACCTTAAAGAAACAAGCATGCTTGCTCTCTCTTTCTCTCTCTCTCTTTTACACACACACACACACACACGCACACTGTGATAATAAATAGATCAACCTCTTTTGCCGATCCCCCACCCCCACCCTACACTTTTGTGTGTGTGTGTGTTAAGTGCGCAAGAGGTTACAACTCTTGGGCGTTGCTTCTCACTAATCATCGTCATACCAATACCCGCTATCTTTGAGCACTGTGAGGTGGCACCATTCTCCTTTTGCAACATCCTCCTTTCGTCCAATCCAAACCTTAATCGGAAGAGGTAGTTGTTCGATGGTTTTCTATCAATTTCTGCAAGGAACACATTGTCCACACTACTCACAGACGAGTCCATTCTGCTCGAATACAATCGAAAGAAAAATCTCTCTTGAAAAACTCTATCCTTCTTTTCTTTTGATTTCGTTCACAATCCCCACTACCCACTTTGCCCTCTCTATCATACACACACACACGCTCTCTCTTTGTTGGTATATAGTTTGTAGGAAAGCTACCAAACAACAACAACAACAACAACGGAACAACGGAACAAGGCGTGCTTGCCAGCAACTTTGACCAAAAGATAGAAAGAGTGAGTGACAAAGGCACAGCGACCAAGAAAAGAGAGAAAAGAATAAACTAGCGACAAGCTGGTATGGACTGCTATATTTGGAATAGCTCCAAAATCATTCATTCAGTCGTCAAGTCAACATAAACAGATTTCAACAAGTCGTCGGTACAGAGCGCTGGAGGATAATTTAAGCTTCGGATTGTGTGCGCCCATTCAAAACATAACAACAAAATAACACACATACAGTACTACGCACGTCGAACATCATCATTCACCACCACCAAAGAGTAGTGGGCCCCCAAACTACTGGCCTCGGCACTTGTTGTTCTGCAACAAACAATCCTTCAATACATCCCTCACACACTCCCCCACCCCCCCCCCAAAACTATAGCACACAGAAGATAGCGACCTAGGTGGTAGTACACAACAAAGGCATGTTCTTCTCTATTCTTCAAGAAGAAATACTGGCTATCACAGCTCTCCAAGTGACTAACCAGAAAGTGTTGGGCGAAAAGGTCCAGAATCTTTTGCTTTTATTGGGCTTGGTTGAATCAAAAAGATGCAGTGGTTTATGTCTAAAAGCGAATAGAAAACTATCACTTCTTGCTAATTAGATAAGAGTGATGAATGGATGATCATCAGCGTATGCCCTCCTCGCCCCCACAAGCACTGTTGTTGCATTATGAAAGATACATACTGCCTACTATCCATTTCAAATGCCCCACCCTTTTGATTCTCTTTGATAGATGTATTACAAAGATGATGTCCTAACGTTGGATCCCAGTTACATATGCGTGATGCAGCATAGATAAGTACGCTTGGTACTGTTATTAGGTTCGCTGCTATATTATAGTGAGTGAGAGAGACGCAGTGGTGTTTAAAAAGAATGCAAGCATCCAAGTTCGTATGTATGCATGATATACTGACAGACACATATCAGGCGCACGTGCATGGACGTGTTTCTATCTATAGCTTATAAATTACGCTTTTAAAAACACTATGATGTGCTATATGATAGCTATTAGGGATCGAGCTAAAGACCAGGAGCAGCAGCTAACTCCACTAGCCCTCACCCCCTCCCAACAGATACCATATCATCGTACATCCAGCATCCAGCATCGGAATTAACAATCGCGATCTCCATGGAAACCGCAAATGTGACCCGATCGCCCATGCTTTCTGTTTATGCATTTCATCATTGTAAACCGCTCCAACCCCCTTCCATTTTTTGATCGGCAATCATAGTGTTCTCTTTTCTGTGGAGAGAGAAAATGATGAAAAGCACCCACCCGTTCGTTTGTCAATGGCAATCCTGATATCGTCACAACAGCGAATAAATAAGGATTTTGACTCTCTCTCTCTCTCTCTCTCTCTCTCAAGTTGTATAATGTACACACACACACACACACACATTGTTTGGATAGTTCTCGAGTACGAATACATTCTCTCCTTTTCTCTTCATGCCAGTCGATCTACTCGTTGACTGTTTGCTGCGCACACGATCAGAATGCTACTTGTTGAACACCCCCTCTAGTGGCTGATCGAGGTGCCCATGTACTCGCAGCAGAGAGAAAGAGTGCGAAAATATGCTAGAGACGCGTCATTTTCAGAGCTGACCCCTCCCCCGTCTTTCTCTACATTTTTCTATGATACAGTACTCCCTTTCTCCCTGCTGTCCCTGATGCGTATGTTCTACAGCAAGTGAATATCAATACTGCTCCAAACCCAACGCAGTTGATAAAACTCACTTCTTTGTGTAGTGCGGTTTACGCATCATCCTTTCGTATACATAACCATTCACTCTTTACAAGATAAAAGGGCATAATTCTCAATCAAGCCACTGTGAAGCAAAAGCTATTAGCGGCCCAAGGATCATATCTATAACGTTGTTGATGCAGGAGAGATGATCCCTCGCTCTATATACTCTTTATATGAAATTTTATGATACGCTGCATGATGATGACGTTACATTTCGAGATTGATCGACTCGAAATAGGGCAACCAAGTCACTGAGAGCATGGGTCAAAAGCTGTGGCACAAGCGCCATGATTTCCAGTAGAGAGAACGGCATTTGCTGTTCATCCATGTACTACTACTTGCATCACAGCCTACTCTATGCTACGACGTGTAGTATCTGCATGTTTGTTTGTACATACGAAAATAGTAAACATCCCCCGTACAGAAGAGAGTAAAATGCAACATGATGAATAAAACGCAACCTTTGTTTTCTCCGTCTTATCATGCTATATGTTATTTCTGAAGGGGCTAGAAGAGAAACATGATATGCAGGACAAGTAAGAAATATGCCGTTCAAGGTGCCACAAGTGCATCCAAAGGCGTCCGCATTGAACAGGTTTATGTGATGGCTTTATATATACTACTAGTATATCGAGTTAGCGCACTTGTGGTGAACCAGTGGTCAGGTAACTCATTCCCGTTTGTCTCACTATGTGAAGTGAGAATGCATGCGCCCTGCTGTTTTATAGTTTGGGTTGTTTACTTTTCTCTTAGGGGTGGACCAGGCTGTTGTTGCCGCAGAGGAAATGGCATATTAGAACGGTCATGACATGATAGGCTGTGGTGCGTAGGGTGTGCGAGGATAGCAAGGGAGTGTGAGACAAGCTAAAGCACACATTGTTATCACCACGAAGAACGACTCATCACACTACGTAACTCGTTTCTGTGCGAGCTAAATGATTATTACCAAAAGCGAAAAGGACAAAGGGACGTTGCTGCTGGCTACATGTGCTCACATTACTTGATACCCCCCCCCATGGTGATAAACTGTCGGCCTTTTAATTATCGACAGTGCGTTCGTATATAGGTTCATTGATATCGCTGTTGCTAACTTACTGCTGTATTTATGTGTGACAGAAAGAAAAAATAAGCAGGGAACCGGCCCCAAGGGTTTGGGACAGCTTTTCACAAAAGTACAAGTGGCTACACAAAGTTCCAAGGGATGGGGGTTTGCAGAGACGGAGGAACAAAAGGTTGGTTTATACTTCACCAGGTCGTGCGGGGGGGGTGTGGATTTGGGGGGGGGAGGGCGAGTGTAAAGTGAACAGTCATTTGTGTGGGCGTGTGTACAACCAATATAAACTCAAAACAAGTTGTCACGTTGCACCATGGAAATAAACAGCCTTAAAAGTTTGGGGGGGGGGGAGGGAACTCTAAAAAAACTGCTGTGCTACTTGAGAGAAATATTAAGCAGGCAATAGATTCTGATTTCTTGCGTTTTCATGCTTAATGCCATCCTTCCGTTATGATTCAAACTACGTTGGCTTGCTGCATTTCATACGATCTTACAAGATGTCATCGTGAAGGAATAGTAGAATTGACGTTGGCCTTTTTCTACTATTGGTATGGGAGGGGCTGGTAGCAGCACTTTGGAAAAAACGAGCCCAATGAATAGGTCAATGATGGTATCCAGGTACAACAATGTGTCGAGTGCGAGAGACTCGTCTTTCTTCTACTTCTTCTGTATAACCTCTTTGCACGGCATCATTACAGTATCATCTTTGCTGTCATTAACTTCTTTTTTTCCCATAGCTTCATTTGGCTCTCCTTTCTGTGATGCATCGATGCTTTACATAGCAATCGTAGTAAGGAAGAAAGGTACAATGTGACACATAAAAACCCGTCGTGTGTGCACATTGATCATCACGTAAAAGGGTTAAAGGATCTTTTTCGCGTATACAACATACGATGTACATACATGCAAAAGATGGCAAAGACGACGGGCAAGTCGTTTGTTGCTTATTAGCAACTAGAAGCTGCATGGGTGGCACTAGCAATACGTCAGATGTAGTCTGTAAGTACAGTACACAAAAGCCAAATCTATTTATGCAACTTCCTGGCTATAGGGTTATCTACTGATGCTTAAACACTTTCTCGGAAAAAGTGTCGGATGCTACATATTCAAAAGTGGTACCGTACACGAAAGTGAACTAATTTTGTTTTCATGTTTGAGATTGTCAAGACTTTGCAGATAGTTTTTATTGTACGTCCCAAAATTTACAATAATAGTCATTTCTACGAGAAGCATGTGCCATACAAGTATAGATCATCCTGTAGTCAATTACGCCATAAGCAGCTACAGTACATACATACATACTAGCAGCAGCAGCACATTGATAAACAAAAGAGATTGCTGGTCAAAGATACTATATCATGATGAGAGAGAGAGGGAGAGAATGTACTGCACATTAGGAAACGTCGACCACGACGATACGCTGGAACGAACGCACGTAATGGGAATAGCGCCCCACTTCTCATTCGTCATCATCTTCCTTTTCTCCCCCCACAAGGTTCACAATGCAGCAGTTTTATACGACTAGAGCGTATGGCGACACATACCCAGTAAATGTGTAAAGGAAGGAGCAGTTCCTTTTTTCATGCATGGAGCTAATATTAAAGTAGAATCCTCGGTTAAGCCGAAAGCAGTTGATCATGCATGTGCAATTGTGTGTCACACCACTACTATATACGCATATACCACCGTTACTGCTGCCCAAGACAGAGAAACGAGAAAAACAAGGCGCGTCTTCTATATGGGAGACGCAGTCGATCTTATAATGCATGCTTGTAATACACCGACACCCAGTCATGTAACGGTGATTTAGAGACCTCTTATTAAAGAGGCATTCGCAGGTATGAGATATCAGTGATATAGCTGGGCACAAGTCACACTTAGTATGATATCTCCTTGGTACCCCACTAATCATTATGATACCATTAGGATGGCGCTTTCATTATCTATCAAATCCAAATCCGACAAACCCATTTTTTCTTTTCATCAGAAGGAATCCATTTTAATATATTAAAATAAACTAAAGAGAAGCGCAAAAATATGAATATAATACAATAGGCGGGAATAAAGGTGTTTTTTGTGTGTGTGCAAGTGAGTAAATGTGATGTTGTTCGAAAGATAAAGTCTGTGCGTATGCGTTTTCTTAAAATGGGGGTTATGCAAAAAAAAAAAAAAGGATGACAGGATAGGCGGAGAGGAAAAGGCATTTACAGCTTGGGGCCAGCAGCGACGGTTTCAGGAGTAGCACCTTCTTGGAAGGTCTTGAAGTTGTCAATGAACATGTTGGCGACCTGGTGAAGCGAGCTGGTGAATTCTTCAGAGGAACCCATCCAAGCCTTGCGGGGGTCAAGCAACTCATCGGGGACGTTGGTGACTTGCTTGGGGACCTTCAAGTCAAAGACACCATAGTTCTCGAACTCAGCATTGGCTAATTCGCCGTTGTGGATAGCATCCAAGATGGCACGGGTGTACTTGAGAGGGCAACGCTTGGCAACGCCAGCCTTGCCACCGATCCAGCCGGTGTTGATCAACCAGGCGTTGGCCTTGTGCTGCGACATCTTCTCAGCCAACATGGTAGCATAGCGTTGAGGATGCAAGACCAAGAAGGGTGCGCCAAAGCAGGCAGAGAAGGTAGCTTGGGGCTCGACAATGCCGTCTTCGGTACCAGGGACCTTGGTGGTGTAGCCCGAGATGAAATGGTACATGGCCTGTTCGGCAGTCAACTTGGAGACTGGAGGCAAGACACCGAAAGCGTCGCAGGTCAACAAAATGATGTTCTTGGGGTGACCGCCCATACAAGGAATCTTGGCGTTGGGAATGTGGTCTATAGTTGACATGAGTACGTTTGCAGTTAGTAAACCGTTACTCCATTACTTTTCTCTTCCTTCCCAATTCACACACAATCCCCCCCGTTTGTATATCCGCCTCTTTTCCAGATTCCCTACTCATTGTCCTTCTCGTATACTTACAGATGGGGTACGAAGCACGGGTATTCTCGGTCAAAAAGTCATCAGAGTAGTCGACAACACGGCTCTCCTCATCCAACACAACGTTTTCCAAAACCGAACCGAACTTGATGGCGTTGAAAATATCGGGTTCCTTCTCAGCAGACAAATCAATGCACTTGGCGTAGCAGCCACCTTCAATGTTGAAGACACCAGTGTCGGACCAGCAGTGCTCGTCGTCACCGATCAAGGCACGCTTGGGATCGGCAGAAAGAGTAGTTTTGCCAGTACCGGACAAGCCAAAGAAGAGCGAGACGTCACCATCGGGACCCTCGTTAGCAGAGGAGTGGAGCGACAAGACACCGGCCTTGGGCATGAGGTAGTGCATGACAGAGAAAATACCCTTCTTCATTTCACCAGCGTACTCGGTACCGAGGATAACCATCTCGTTGCGCTTGAAGTTGATGGAGACAGAGGTGGTGGAGGTCATGCCGGTGGTGTAACGGTTAGCAGGGAATTCACCAGCGTTGAAGATGGTGAAATCAGGAGTGCCAAAGTTCTCCAACTCTTCCTCGGTGGGACGGATCAGCATGTTGCGCATGAACAACAAGTGGTAGGCACGGGTGGCGACGACACGGACCTTCTTGCGGTACTTGGGGTCCCAGCCGGCGAAACCGTCAAAGACATACAAGCGAGGACGGGTGTTCAAGTAGTCGATGGCGCGTTCACGGTTGATCAAAAAGACCTGTTCATCAAGAGGCGTGTTGACAGGACCCCACCAGACGTCCTTTTCCGAGGTCTCTTCGCGGACGATACGCTTGTCCTTGGGGGAGCGGCCCATCTTCTTGCCAGAGTAGGCACAGAGAGCACCAGCAGAGGAGATGACGGTACCTTGTTCGTAGGTCAAAGCTTCTTCGTAGAGAACGGCAACAGAGGGATTGCGCTGGATGGTAACCTATTCACCAAGAAAGCAGAAAAAGTCAGTACCTTGTCATTGTGCCTTTGCTCACATAGTGGGATCAGGAAATATGTTTAGAAAAGACGTACGCGATCATAATCGATACCAGCATGTTCGTGCAATTCTTCTTCGACCTTGGTGTGCGAAGCCGAGCTCGAAGGGCGGCCAAAGGGAGATCCGGGTCTGGAGGCAACCATGTTGATAATGTATTTGAAAGAAGTCGTTCAAAAAAGGGGGGAGGAGGATAAGTTAAGTGTATTTTTGGACATTTCGATGGGAGGGTTTATATATAATAGACCATCCTTTGTCAAAGCTCGTGAAGATGGTGGCCGGGCTTTGAATCTTTCCCCGCAATACATTCGGGTCATGTCGGAGAGCCATCATTCCTCCCGAAATTGACCACCCATGTGAAGGACGGAAGAACGTTCCGCGGGATAGCAACGAATTATACATTTTGGACTCTTGGAGCTATTCTTACCCAAGGTTTCATTTTTGGGTTCTCGCCCAAAGTGCCAAAAACTTGAAACCGACGTCGATGGGTTTCATCATACATAGCCATTGTCGGCTTTTTTTTTTTATGATGCCATCCTAGCAGAACCAAACAAATAATTGGCTTTTTTTCTCGTTTTATGACAAATGATGTTTAGTTATTGCACATTGGATGACTATCTACAGATCCAGTCATTGCTTCAACACGAGCAAAGACGACGGGATCGTGCCATTCAACAACATGTGCAGCAGCATCACGAAGCGCTCCGGAGGCGGCGTGCACAGCAATATCGTCTTGCGCGTGCCATGCATAATCTTAAAATGCTCAAGGAGACTTACCGTCGGGAACGGGCATATCGGATCCAGCGCTACATGGAATACTATCGGAATCAAACATTAATTGCGGCCGTGGAAGATGCCTTTTACCGTCAATGCTTGGCATCCGCTATCGAGCAAAGACGTGCCGAAGCAGTTCGTCAACAATATCGTCAGATCGAGCAGCAACAACAACTTAATTATAGTAACTACAGCAACAACCAAGAAGCAGAAGACAGCGACGAGGATGACGACAAGGGTTTTGAGGACTTTCATGCGACCCAGCTGGCTGAGCTTCTCCGACTCTTATTTGATCGTCAGCAGCTCGAGGAGCAAGTGAAACAGCAGCAGCAAGCTCAGCCCAACAATCCGGAGCAGCAGCAACAGCAACAACGTGAAGTAACTGACGCCAGCGACCAAGAAGAGGCACACGATCTGTGGAATTACATTACCCATCTTCAAGATGAACAAAAAGATAAAGTTGAACAGCCCAAACGAGTGAAAGAACAAACTGCTTCCGCTGCTGGTGATGAAAACGAAGCAATGGGGCCAGAACCAGAACCAGCAACTAGGGTCTTGGAATCGATGCAACAGCCAGCCATCAGCGCTGCACCAGACTCAAACGGGCAGCAAGTCGACGGCTATGATGAACTGGTCAATCAAGACGTCAACAAGATTTTGCACAGGCAGCAGGCACACGTCAGGGAGCCGGAAGCGGTCAATGTGATCGACAACCGTGCGGGCGCACCCGAGCGACCCTATATGGAAAGCACGAATATTAATAACGACGACGAATACGACAATGACGTTGACCAAGAAGAAGCGAGTCCTCCGCTCCAAGACCGGGTGCTGAATCTCAAGGATTTGCTAGACCAGCTTGTCTCCGATGAAAGCTCAGACCATGCTGCTTCCACTTCCCCAGACGCTGAACAAGATGCTGACAAATTTAGTAAGACCGCCGCCGACTACGATGACGACGGCGTTGAGGATGACGATGACGCTGTGCTGTTTGAGCCTAAAAGTGTTGTCACTGACGCCGAACCTACCCCGCAACAAGAAGATGCTCCTGCCATTAACACACCGCAGCGCACACAGCCGACGGCGACAACGCAGCCCAACCAACAGCAGGAACAAGAAGATCTCGTACACAAGATTGCGGAGCAGCAAAAGCAAAACTTGCCACCCGCGGATCCAGCAAAGTATGAAGAACTACAGCAAGTTGATCGTCAACTCCAAGAGATCCAGGCCAACCGCTTGGCTACGGTTTTGCGTACACCGCTTCAATTCGAGAACAAGTCAGGCACATTACATCTGACGGCCACGACACCTGATAATCGCGAGTTCTTGGGCTGTGAGGACGAAATTATGCGAACTATGCTCAAGCTGGATACAATTTCGTCCAATGGCGACGAAGGAGTCAGAGGTGAACGCAAGGCGCTCGTCAAGAAGGCTGAAGGGATGCTCGAGCAGTTGGATGGGCATAAGCAGGTCGAATGGGAAATGGCTAGAATGTCCAAGAAAGGAGGAGGGGGAGAACGGCATCACAAGGAGAAGAACAGAAAGAATCGCCATCATAAGCAGAAGCAGCATCGCCATCATCAGCAACGTAGCAAGGCCGGTGGCATCACTGTGTAGTGAAACAAAGAATGACATGCTCCGCGGAACCGGAAAGTTACCCCATTGGTCCCACTTTAAAGCACTTGATATTTTCCATTGTGCATAACAAAGTTATTTTGCATAAAAACATATGACTACTACATTTTTGTGTGTTATACTACTCCTGATGACTCATATTGTGTGAATAATAACACCAGTCATACATATCTCTGTCGCGCATAATGTTTGAACTAGAGAGCATGATGTGCATAGATGGATCATTCCTGTGATATACCCTGTGGAATATGTATTGCGCTTTGCTGTAAAATAACATCACTATCCGCCGAGGGAGGTTTTCGGTGGCTGCAAAGAAGTAAATGCAGTCCTACTGTACAAGCGAAAACTATTTCAGCTTTCACTGAATCATTACACTAACAGTACATTTATCTACAAATTTATTCGGTGTTCTATAGATGCAAGCTATACTGGTGTTTTCTTCTTTTAAAGCATGCTCTGCACTATTGATCGTCTCTGTAAGGGTGGGGTCATTTTTTTGTGGGATTTTTGCATTTTTTATGTGCCTAGCCACCCGAAATTTATGGGACATTTAGTTACACAGTATATTTTGTACTATAAATTATAAGAAAGACTTTTTTGTGGGATATTTTCTGTGGGGATTTCTTAGAGATAGCTTTTTGTGAGATTTTTTGTAAGAGTTTTTATTGGATTTCTTTAAAGTACCCATTTTTATGCAATCTTACATGTTCTTTGTTTACTAATAAACCTCCCTTATTGCTTCTCTACTATCTCCATCAAGTCTTTTAAGACAAAAGAGAAAACAGGATGACATGTTAGAAAACCATTCAACTTACCGCTAACTGCCTTTGTGTGTCAACCTGCCGCCGTTGCTAGTGATTTTCATATTCACTTTTGCTTCACATTGGATGTGAAGTAATGGTGATTTCTCGAGACAGAACGTGCAACCAGCTTACAATTGTTTTTTGATGTTGAGTGCCGTAGAAGCAGGTCTCACCAGCTTTTTACAGTCGCCCTTGGTACACACTGGACAGCACCAAGGCAAACCTTGCTGACGCTAATTTCAGTTCTGATGTGATCGTAGCTTGTTTGACGGAGCTGCCAGCCGATATCAGTGTCGTACTCCAATTCGCCTTTGTCGTTATTATATGGAGCTGTATGATTTCGACTTTATTGCCGTTTGGAAAACGCTTGATAATGATATTGTCGAGTTGTTAATTTCGGTATGCGTATCGTTCGATGCTGACAGACCGGGACCTCGGATATTGCTTTCCTCAGGAACGCAAAGTTCCTAAACCCCGCAAAAATCCCACAAAAAAACCACGCACACTCTCTGTAGTTGTTATACTGTAGCGCTCAGCGATCATCCACTAAAATTTTCGGAAAGTGCTTTCTACATATGATCCGGCACAGTCATATTCACAGTGTACAGAATTGCGAGTGGGTGTAAATAAACTAAGTTCCTTCATTCCCTTTATTACCTGTGGCGTGTTATGACAAGTACATGTCTGTGATACTTTTAGCTTTTCATGCAGTTCGTTGCCGAGACAACAATACCATCGATGATTATTATCCGGAAATCTGACACCAGTGATCAAGTTGCGAAGCTTACCGCAATTCTAAACGAAATCACAATACATAAACCATGTTGGAAAACAGCCGTCTACTGTACTACACTTTGTATGAGTTTTTGTTATCGCTTTTAAGTATAATAGAACTTGATGAGACGGTGTACTGTATTTTTTCGATGCGGAGGTAACGCAGGCTACAGATTTCTTACTTTATATAAGGGTATTTTCAGGGCGAGTGGATGTATGAATGAAAAACCAAATCGTTCTAAAGGCTCTCATCTGTTGTGTTGAGTATACAACAACAATGACGATGGAAGAGAGTACTGTGTCGAACCGCACTGCTGATGAAATGAAACAATCCGACTATTCGGTAGGATGAATATGCATGAACTTCGTCCCAGACGACAAAATGCTCCAAGAAATCTTTATCTTTGAAAGAATGAAGTCCCATACTGTGTTGACAATGTGGATGCTTCTGGTATCATATTTTAATCACTGGGTCAGATAAGCTTATGTGTTAACCTTTGATATCTAAAAGCGTGACGGATATTAGATTCAGTTTTTCGTCAACGTTAGTATTATCATAATCGTCCTCGCTAACTCTCATGTATGTTGACCTCTCGTTGCACGCCTGAATTGACTAACCTTTCAAATGTCGCAAGATGTACATGGTACACCTCCTTTTCTGTTACAGCGCCGTGGGGCTTAAGTTAGTCAACGCATTGAAACGGTAGCATAATATGTGTCTACATGTATGTGAACGTTTCTTTGTATTTACCATCATACCAGCAGGAGCGACAGAATACGTATTACGTAAAATATTGAGGTTATGTTCCTGGTTCTATAAAATTTATGGGCACTTCGTTTTTCCGACCACAGCGAATAGAAAAGGGACGATAGTTGTTAAGTAGGACAACCACCAGTACTGTTACAAAAAGTAAGTGATGATAAAGTTTATCATTTGAGAGAAAGGTTGCATCATCTCTTCCCAATAATTCTTTGTCTACAGGTATATTTTCATGAAGGTCGGGTATGACAAGATAACTGGTCACAAGACACAAACTGTTTCGCTCCGTGCAGCTGTAAAGGTACGTGCATATATAATTCTGCATACCATATTAGCGAGAAAAATGAAGAACAAGAGCGGACCATCGTAGAGATCACCGATTCTCGGAGCCAATCATGTTCGAGATCCTTTTGTTTGTTAAATATCGTTCAATCAGAAGGCTTCGTTAGCATCGCACCTCCTCCCCCTAATCCTCTTTATCTTATCATATGGGCGATTATCTTGACAAATTGGCGCGCTGTGTCAAACATTTCCTTGGTAGGCGGGAAGAAGGAACGCAACGCAGCATACCTCTGTGGCGTACATGTCTATGGTCTTTCGTGGGTGCCTTTACTGGTCTTAGCTTATTGGAGATTCTGTTTTCGTACACTCAAGCATTTCAAGATCTCAATGTACCCATGATAGCAGCTAGCTGTGTAAAGTATCCCAGTGTTAACGCTTCCGCTTCAAATGCTATTTGCTGCTGTATAAACGTGGTAGATCGAGTATATAGAAACTAACGGTCATATGTGTGTAGGGCGCTACTGCTGTGCTCATTTACGGTGCCATTGAAGCACCATTAGCCCAACCTCGGGCAATGATCGGTGGCAATCTCATTGCCTCTTTCGTTGGTGTATGCATTCACAAGTTGTTTCTGGAAATTAATACACCTGACCAATACGTTACTCATGTCCGTTGGGTGGGTGGAGCAACAAGCGTTTCATTGACTATCGTACTCATGCAGTTGACGAAAACAACCCATCCACCTTCTGGCGCCACCTCGCTCTTACCTATGGCTACGCCAGAGATTGGTGATCTAGGCTGGCTGTATATCGGCATCATCATGCTGTCCAGCGCAATTCTACTTGTTGTGGCATTGCTTGTGGACAATATAGAGCGCCGATATCCAACCTACTGGTGGACTGTAACGTCACCCCCATCCAAAAAAAACGATATTGAAATGTCGCTGGGGTCCAATGATTCTTCCAAGGAAACAGTTGCTGAGGAACAGTCTTTGGTCATCTTTGGCCAGGCAATACCACAAGATATGCTAAACTCGGACGAAGAGGAGTTTTTGAGAAAGCTTGCAGGCAGGTTTCAAAACCCCTAGATGGTAGTGTGATTTACACTGCTTACGTTCGACGAGCACCGCGATATACGCAACACATACACTACATTTGTTCTTGCAAGTTAGACTTTTTGTAATTTGTTTTTCTTATGCATTTATACCCTTCTTATATTGATTATTGGTCCTCTTTACATTTGATTGTTCTTGTACATACTATATATCTTCTAATAAAAAAAGCCTACAAAAGTCGTTACCGGTACTATTTTTGCGCCAAGTAAGTAGTACTGTAACTCCGAAAAAGAAAAATCATCGCCATTCCCACCACGCTGGTTGTTTACTATAATATCGCACGAAAAAGACCTTGCACATATTACTGAGCCACACTTCGTTGCCTTTGAATTAATAAGCGAAAGATAAGGGACCCTTATCTGATTTCCTTGTACAGGCAATAGTAAACATGTATAAACATCCAAATAATGCAGCATGAGGCTTGGCGACACTAAAATAAGTCAGCGAAGGATTTGAAGGGTATAAATAGGCAGCTCGTTCGTGCTTCTCACATGGGTGGGAAACCAAAGAATTTCATTCCTACATTATGGCTGATCTGAAACCACCGTTCACACAAGAAACCGCAAACAGAAAAGTCAAGTTTGCCCAAGATCTCTGGAATACAAAGGATCACAACGTAGTATACAAAGGTAAAAGAGCAATCGACAGAAACTAGACATTGTTTTCAAAGGCACTAAATATGCATTTGCGTGCGTGTTTAAGGTTACACCGAGGATTGCATCTGGCGTAACCGAGACCATTTTTTCATCGGACACGACAAGATCAAAGAGTTTCTCCAAAACAAGTGGCAAAAGGAACACGATTATCGCCTACGAAAAGAGTTATTTGCGTTCACTGATAATAGGATTGCCGTGCAGTTCTGGTACGAGTTTCATGATGATCAAGGCCAGTGGTGGCGATGCTATGGCCTCGAGGACTGGACATTCAATGAGCAAGGAAAAATGCGAAAGCGCCAGATGAGTGGGAACAATGTCAAGATTTCCGAGGAGGAAAGATGGTTTAAGGATAACGTGGATGTGAATACGGTTGACATATCAGAGAAACATTGGTGGTAAGGATATTCTGGTAGTATCACCGGTACCTTGCACTTGCATAATCTCGTTTCCACTGATACAATCATGATGGCGTATGTTTCTATCCAGATGCCTGTCTGTTAACTTTACGGAAGGTTTGCTGTGGATAACTTGAAGGGGTTGATGCATCATTATGTGTATATTTAATCAAGCGTATTCCTTGTGCGAACGTATTCCTTGTGCGAACAACTTGGATTGCCACATCACCACCACAGTCATCCTAATTTTACCCCTGATCTACGTCTTCTCAGCTTGAATGTATCATCATAATAGTCTAAATCTTTTAATCCGCTGTATACTTAAATAAAGCGCCGTTATCAAGCGTGTGCAGGAGCATTCCACTAGTTTCAACAGATAATAGGATGCGTTAGTACAATATGCGTGGGGCAAGGGGTTACAGTGGAAGTTTTGTCATTGCTGGAAAGGACAGGGGACCTGAAGAACCGAAAATCAAAGATACAGAGGCTGTGGCTACTATTTGAGCCGTATAGTAAAAAATAAGCAAGGGTATTTTATAATAGAGTAAGTCTAGTCAGCTGCTTATCCTTACCTTCCCGTTACCACCAAGGATTAAATATCACGGTTACAGTTGCTTGCAGCGTTCTCTAAAGCTATTCAGACCTTATCGGTAACATATCTGCGCATTGTAAGGCGCCACATTGCATAGGTTAGCGCAATGCTTACCTAGACAACGTGGATCCGATAATAAGTGTTGTACTTTTCACTGCTTTACTGATGACGACGAGAACCCACAGATATGTTTTGTCATTGTTATGTCGTGCAAAATCTTTTAAAAGTTAGAAAAAACGTTTATATATTGTGGGAGCTGTTATGTTAATAAACGTAGCATATATAGTGTATTTATAGTAGTAAAACAGCAATAGCAAACAGCAAAAATATATAAGCAATACACGAAGGTTGCTCTTCGTCAAATATTGTAAGTCTATTTATTACATCAGCTCATAATTCTTTAGCGTGCAGATAAAATCAAAGCATCAAACTCGCATGATGAAGTGTAAATACTGTCAACATCGTCAACATCGTCATATTCTTTAGCTTTTAGCTTGTTGCGGCATGAGGATTTGAATTTTCTGGCAAAGCTTGGAATTCTGGTAGAATATATCGGGCGGTGGTGCATATCTTTTGCTGAGTTTGCGGTATGAATACCGGATGCCGACACGAAAAAGGCCGTAAAGGACGATATCATGGTAGGGAAAAGGTAGGCTGAGTTTTGAGTTGGAAGGTAAGCCATGTTTGAGGAAGGTACCACTAACAGAGGTGAAGTAGGATAGATCTTGACGTTGTAAAGAAAAGTAAAGAGAAATATATATGTCCAAATACGCTTATATATCCTCAGCTAGCAATTATGGCGGCGTCATATTGTGCATAGTGAAAAAGTATGGTGTGGTACCCCATGCCTCTATGCATAAATATGTAGCCGTTCTTCCTCTTAAGGGAGAGAGAAACGAAGGAGGATGCATATAAAGTGTGAATTTTTATTATACATTTGATCCTTTGATGAATAATAAACACCTTTTTCTGTAGTATGAGTTTTGATCTTCTTCATCGCAACGCCCAAAAACACGCTGACAGGTCACCACCAGCCGAAGTATGCAAGGCCATAGTATCTTCAATGGCAATAGAAAGGAGAACAAGCTCGTTTAAAGTCAATAAACATCATCGATTTTCATTATTAATTAGCAAACATGATATGTCGTAAGTACTTTGTACAAAGAAGTAAGGAGTATCTTCCCCTTACTCTCTCTCAAACATCCTTTATCTAATATGTGGATCACGGGAAAAATTTAAATACAAAAAAAAATCATTGAAAAGAAAAACAAGTAAAAGGAAGAATATTTAAAAATGATGGTGGTCTCGTTCGACTAGGATGGATTCACTAGGATATGCCATCTCATTATCTCCATCTGGCGAAAACACTTGATCTATCACTGTTGGATGTTGTCCTTGTTGATGTTGTAATTCTTCATCTTCTTCTTCACCAAGTCGAATCACGTCTTCTTTACTACTACGACTGCCTACATGGCTGCTGCTACTACCAGTGGTAACCACGCCTCCTCCATCGTTATAATCGTCATCAAACTGTATCAGAGATCCGTTGCTGCTCGAAGGAAGCATGATGCTGCTGCTGCTGTTTCCGCCGTTTGCACGAAGAATCGGATTACTGCTATTGCTGAATCGTGGATCGAGGTTAAGCAGATCTTCAGGACTTGGTCCGCTTCCCATATTGATCAAATGTGCGTCTTCAAACGAAATAGCTGATGGCGTGGAGCGTGCTGCAGCATTGCCTGGAATCAGTGGCTGTTGCAGGTAATGGTTGCTGTTGCGTTTATAGGAGCTGCCACTGCCATAAGATCCTGAAATTAACGTGGTCGGCGATGGTGCTGGGAATGTTGTTTGCATTGCTTTGGACAAATTGTCTATTGTGGTATTACCTCATGATTAACACTCGTTCTTTCCTTATCTTCACTTGTAGCAATTAATTATGCTGTAGATTTTACCTTCCAGCTCAGCCAGTGCAACGTCTAGATTCTCTTCATTTTGACTGGCAATCCGCGCTGTTGTCTTTCCCACGCGATCAATGCGTCTTGAATATGGCTCAGGTACATCTCGTCGCACAACAACTGCTTCTGATGTAGGCATGTCGCCTGTTGTCCAAAGCTTGTGGCGAAGTGTTGGGACATACTCAGTATATGTCTGCAAGCTGAATTGAGGCGACGACCAAAGTGGAGACTCGTCGCCGCTGCCATAAGTCATAATTTCAGCATGAGAAAGCCATGGACGCGTATGTTTGCGTACACGATTACTTTTAATATCCTGTTGCTGCTGTTGATCGTCGTTTTGCTGCTCTTTGGAGCTGGTATCGAGTGACAATGGCACTTTGACCTGTTCCCATTCAGCTGTACGGGCCATGGACCACTCTGCAACATCCTCTTGCTTTATAACCAAATCATGCTTCTCAATTGTACGTGATTGTTCTCGCTTACGAACCACCGATCTACTGATCCAGCATCGATGTAGTGTCAATATTCCGCGTGGATGGATAGAGTACATGTCTTGATAACCTATATTATTATCATCTTGGAGCAACCGGCTGTCATCGTCAGCAGCAGACAATTCTTCCTCGTCAAATCCGAATAGTCGATTATCAGAGAGCTTGTCATGTGCAGATGTCCATGCCGTGTTGTTGTTGTTTTGGTGCTGCTGTCTCGACGACAGAGATGAGGAGGAGTCAGTACTGCTAATGCTGGATCCAAACGACGAAAGCACTGATCCAAGACTTGATGATGCTTGTTGTTTGAATGCTTTGAACGGAGTAGAAGAGGATGAGTTGTCGATACGCTGATGATGATTGGCGCGCGATGCATTTACAAGATACGGCGATCTAGACGGTAATAAAAACATGGATGCAAGCTTGGCACGTGGGTATCGAGATATAGTACTAGAGCGATGCGAGGCGGTGGAATTTAATGGGTAGTAAGGTGAAGTGGGTATATTCTGATGAGAGGTTAGAGGAGGATGCTGTTCGTCAATGGGTGGCTCCGTATGCATGGATCGACGTTGCTTGATACGAGCTACTGAACTAACCGAAGTGCCCTACATACATTAAATAAATCAGTGTTATGAATTTTTAAGATAAAGATAGTAGACGATCGACCTTTTCCGATACGCGAGTTCCATGCAACCAAGGTCGGATAATAGGATTGTTCACTCGTCCATTGACATGCCCTGTTATCTCTGGCTTTCCGCCGTATGGATTGATCGCGTACACATGCGTTGTTCCACGCGCCGTGCTGACCGAGCACCACATGGAGTCAGCTGAGAAATGGCAATCTTCAACTTGTGCGTCGGTATATCCTCGTGCCAGTGTATAAAGATGCGATACGTTGCCAGGTGTTGCGCTACTCGGCATAATCGCAAATAGATGGAATGAATGTCCCTGTCTAGACGCAGACAATAGCAATGTGCCTGCACTATTAAATGCTAGACATGACAAGGGATGCGTATGTGGTCGAAAGTGAGCGACTAAAGACGGGGACATGTTTCTCGTTGGCTGGTCAGGTAATTGGGCAATATCACGAATCATGATCTATATATAAACTCTGTTTAGAGCCTCCCCCATCCAGTTCATCCTTCCACCTCCCTATCTAATTCCTCGCAATGATATAGTGTTGATTTTGAACATTTACCATTCCGTAGAGCTGTGGCTTTTTGGATCCACCTGTAGGAGCCGTTGCTGTCGCTCCGACACTGCCGGTGGAGGGTGACACTGAAGGAACTGGGCTGGCAGCACGCTCATCATGTCGTAATGGCCCACCTGGCGACATGGCAGCAGTACGTGAATTGGCGTTTTGCATCATCAGTTTATCCTGTTGCTGCTGCATGGCCGGATTGTTGAAATAATTTGACAGCGTGTGATAGCCATACTCTCCAAGTGTCTTGACACCGCTCACAACTTCTTTAGCTATATCCTTTGCCGCGCCTCTGACATCCTTGTCGCCCTGTAGCATGCCTAATCCTGCGCCACTGATACCTTTGTTATGCTGCCCCATGACCGGATCGGCATTCAGTACTGCTGAGCTCGTGCCATATGCTATAAATCGTGATCCCAGCGAGAACACAGGGCCTTGTACGTCATGCGCAACGTCTGTAATGGGTGCTGAAAGTGTAGACAAAGTGCGAGACGAAATAAGTTGTAAACTTGAATTCGAACTCGTCGTACATCCCTTTTATTAGTTAGTACACAGCTTCTGCAAAGTTGTTGAGAAATTTAACTTCCACTTACAAGAACAATGATGATATCATTACTTTGGATACTTGTGATGTGCATCTCCTCGTCTCCATCATCGACAAAGGTTGGGAATTCTTTGACAATCCGATGCGTCTTTAACGAATACAGCCGCAGCGTTGATGGCACTGGATTGTTTGATTTTCCTGAGCAAGAGGACTCGTTTCTTGCATGATGTCCCATATCTATACCGCCAAATGCATCACATCCATCGAATGTATCTCGGGCAGATGTTCTAATAAGTATTTTGTTCAGATACGCTAAGAAGAGTTTTGGTTTTATCCAATGACGTAGTGATAAAAGTCAATTCAAACTTGTTGTCACTTACACTACAGCCAATAAAGGTCTCTCATGGCTAAAGGCATCGTCGTCTGCATCTTTGGGCGGATTTGCAAGCAAATGCAAATGAGATACGACACCAAACGCTTCATCTTCTCGTATAGAACACATTTCATGAATGTTATCGGGGTTGGCAATATCCCAGACCTGAAATCCGTCGGCATAACCTAGCAACAGCCATAACGACCTTTTAACCCGATGAAATGATAAGGCATCAGTATTTTTTTTTGATTGGATACGATGTGTATTGCTTAGAGTGTTTTATCACCTTGCATCACCATCCATTTTTTGGAAGACAGCGTATGTCACCTTGTCCAATTCGTCTTCCACGTCATGTTGCTGCTGATTCTGCTTGTTGTTGTCCTCGAGACTACTGCTAATCGGCGTTGACGGCGAAGGTGGTGGGGGAGGAGGTTGATATGTAAAGAGTGCTGGATCATTATAAGGGAAGCTTGGCTTCCGTTTTGGCAGGTTCGATGCCACATACGATGAGAAACGAGACAGACCAGACGAAATGAACTCGAGTGAAGTTGGGTCCCTTTTATATAATAACGTCGTTAGCGGAAAAAAAAAGAGAGAAGAGAGGTCTAGAAGTTTATGACTCGTACCGTAAGAATCGAGGCTCTGCACGGACACCCGGGTATACGTTGGTTGACTGGCTCATTACAGAATAGGAATTAAAAGAAAAGGGTAAAGGGCAAGAATAGTTGTGGGGAACGGTCACTTGGAAAGTATGTGTGTGTCTATGGAAGGGGATGTCGTCTTCGGTCTTGTTAAAAAAAGTTATAAAAGTGAGAGGATTGAAAATGAGTTGAAGTCTTTGATAATTTGAAGAATGAAAGAGTGATGGGACAGGGTTAAAGCTTGTAGTTTGTTTACGTATGTGTGTGTTGATAATAATTATAAGGCAGCAAGTAGAAAGCGAGAGAGAGTGTGCGTGTGGTGCAAGGAGAGCAGATTTCGCATGAATGGGCCTGTTGTAATACCCTCACTCACCACACTCTCTTTTTCTTTTTAGGTCACGAGTACGTAATACTCTTCTCCTCCCCAGTCTTTTCTCTTTCCCTTTCATATCACCATCTACACATAGTGTATATGAGCCAATCATTTTATCATAAACACACAGCTGCTGTTGCGCAGCTTCTGCATGAATCTTGTGCGCAGCATAGCAAATGGACTGTGGTTGTTACTGTTCGAGCTACACTTTTAATACCTATCACTGCGGAAGACCAGATACAGTGTGCACCAAAAGACGGATATTGTGATAGCCCAGTTGATGACGACGTTGATAATATTGCCTTTGCCGCGAATGGAACTGGTCAGCCGATACGCATCATTGATCAAATGATGATATAGAATAGTATGCTGAAGTTATTCCGTGCAATGTAGTATGTGTACCTGAATACTAACAACCGTTTATGTCGGAGCATTACGGTTCGCCTGCTTCTGTATTACAACAACAGTGAGATATACTTTAATAAGCTTTTTGTAAAAAGGATTCCTGCAGCATGACATATGCACAATGCATCTAAATACACTAATGTATGTGAATTTTACAGTCACCACATAAGTCTATCTTTCTCTTGGCTTCATCTCTTATCATTCAACATAGTAGAAGACCTTTAAAACATATCGCAAAGCAACACCATAAGCAATCCAGGACTGGGAAAGAAACCCCGCATGCTCAGAGAGGGGCTTGTTGAGAATAGAGTTTCAACCAGGCACATTATTATCGCTCTTCCCTTTCTTCACCTACCGCACACCTTTTTAATCAAGTTCCATTTCGAGCATGGCTGCGACTTCGGAATCATTTCAGACGACTGCCACTACTGCTACCACCACAGCACCTGCCACCGTTCCTAAGCAGATTCCCAGCAAGGTCAAAGAAACTGCTGTCGGTTTTGTAATTGGTGGTCTAGCTGCGTGTGGTGCTGTTACCTTCACGAATCCTACCGAGGTAAATCCATATAAAGCCTGTTGTATGATCGGCTACTGTTGTTGTTGTTACTACTTTAATCTGTTGGGCTGAGAGGAAAACTTCTTGATTGCTACGAAGAATTACTGGTTGCTAAGACACCTACTCTGATTATGCTTCCCAAACCAAGGTTGTGAAGACCCGGTTACAACTGCAAGGTGAACTTGTCCGAGCAGGCCAGCTTTCGGCTGCGGCACGACCCTACCACAACACATTCCAAGCCTTACAGGTTGTATTCAAGCATGAGGGCATCCGAGGCTTACAACGTGGCTTGGGTGTTGCCTACATATACCAGATTTGCTTGAATGGTAGCCGGATAGGTCTTTACGAGCCTGTACGAGACACTGTCGTCAATGCCTTCGGCTTACGATCCGAACAAAGCTTACTGGGTGCCGGTATTTTCGCAGGTGCTGTCTCTGGTATTGCCGGTGCCATGTTGGGCTCGCCACTCTATCTAATCAAAACTCGACAGCAATCGTTCTCCCCGGTGTTCAAACAGATTGGCCATCAGCACGAGATACGATCTGCATGGACCGCACTTGCTCGTATCTATCAGACGGAAGGATTGAAAGGTGTATACCGTGGTGTGGATGCTGCCATGGCCCGCGCTGGCGTTGGGTCTGCAGTACAGATGCCTACCTACATGATCGGCAAGAATATCCTCATTAGCCGATTCGGTTTGCCAGATACCATTGGCACGCATTTGAGCACATCCATGTTTGCTGGCTTTTTGGTGGCTATCGCTATGAATCCTTTCGATGTGATTTCTACTCGCATGTATAATCAGGGTGTGGATCCAGCAACAGGTCGTGGTCTACTGTACAAAAATCCGTTGGATTGCTTCTTCAAGATGACTCGTACCGAGGGCGTCCGTGGATTGTACAAGGGCTTCTTGGCCCATTATCTGCGCATCGGGTAAATTATTCGAATTTGAACCTTGTTATCAATTTTTGGAGGGCTAACTTTTATCCACTCACTTTATACTAGACCCCACACAACCCTTATGTTTGTGTTTATGGAACAACTCAAGGGCATCTACAACAAATACCTCAACTAGACTCGCACTCGCACACGCTTCAACCCTCTTTTCTTCAGCTCGACATCGAACGGTCATCGCACACACCACCGCTTTCATACGCAAATCATACATGCACCACCACACACCACACAACCTCCACCATTTATATAGAACTTTTTTTTATAGGTTTCTTTTTTTGGTCATACTATTACTTGTCTACATATATATATATAATATTGTTACACCACTTTCGCACGCGTCTACATCATTTTCCGCAAGCATGATTCCGTGCGACTTTTTCGTTGAACATGTGTGCACACACTCGTGACACATTTGTAATACTTGGCTTGCAAAGTTTATTTCGCTTTACGTCATAAACTAATTGAAACAAGACAAAGAAAAAATCTTCAAATAGTCAAGCGATTGTCATTTACAGCGAAAATAAGCAGATTGGAATAAGGCCAGTTTGGGTCATCAATTGTGAACTAATATCTTCCATGCGTAACTTCTAATTCTACGCAATACTGGCTATTTCCTTCAGACCAGGCTATAGTCACTACCAATTAAAGTTCCAGAATCAGTATTCAGTTGATCTCGCATGTGCTGCCAATAATGTTTTCTTGGCTGGAAAAGAAATGCAATCGGCCGTGTCTTTTTACAACAAACAGTGAGTTTACGTGACTAACTGGACTTTGACAAAAAGTATGTACATAAAAATATTCTTCTGATCCCAATAACACCATAATTTTATGATTGAATATACAGACAATGATCCTCAATTAGATACACTACTAGTAAATTACAATACTTTGAGAACTTAAAGGTCCTTTAAGTCTATACATCAACTTGGTTTGAATAGTGACCAACGATAAACTTGTTCGCTAATGGTGTTTTTAGCTACCCCGTCTGACAGCATACTACTGTAGCTGTTGCTTCTGCTGCTGTTGATTGTTGATATATCCGTCAAGTAGGCCGGTACGTCTTGGTACTTGACGTTCAAATATTTGAGTCTAGGTACAGATATAACAATAACAAGAAGACATTAAAAGATTTGACAAGCGCGCTTCCTCCTAGCTGAGCCTCCCTTTCGGTATGATCCCAAAATTGACAGAAACCATGAAGCAAACTCACTCATTGATTGTCAAAGCTTTTTGTGCCCAAATAATATCACCCGTTTGAAGCTCATGCTCGATGAAAGCTCTTGATGTTTTTTGTAGTTCATCAATCATTGTATGTTTCACTTCCTATCATATAAACATTGCCACCACGATCCATTATAATAAAATAAGCAAAACTTTCTAGCGACACCCTCTCTTTGCCTATCATTTTTACACTATTTGCCTCATAAAATTCGAGTTATGTATTGCTCGCATTTCCAACCATTAGATTAATCACGACCGCAAGCGACTAAACAGCATACTTAGGTTTAACAACGATATGATCCACGGGCTTTTGTATGATTATCCGTTACATGTATGATAAATAGCATAAATATCCATGTCTCACTTGTATCGTTGCAAGGATTATATAAATTTGTCATCTCCACTTACTATGAGGGTTGCGTTTCAATGTCAAAGTATTTGATGAATATGATATCCATTCAATCAAGCATTAAGTTGACCTTTCCCTGGGTATCCGCCATATTGTATTGAGTTGCCGTGCTTGTTACTTCGACATCAATAGCTGCTTCAAGAATAACCGAAAGAAGAAATAAACAAGAAGAAAATAAGCGCTTGACAGATTTTCTTTATCACAGATTCTGCTGCTGGCTTGCCTTACCATTACATACAAACCAGCTCACTCCGAGTGTATGTATGCTGATGCTGCCAAAGGAGACTAGCCCATGACGAGTATACGTTGCTGCTAGTAAAGTAGAATCCTCCATCCCGATTGTATGCTGCTGCTGATAAAGTATAGAATCTTCGATCACGAGTATATGCTGACTGCTGCTGAGCGTCACGAGTATACGTGCTTCTGGTAAATTAAGACCCTCCATCTAAGGCTCACGTCCTTTTGCAAATGCAATCATTTTGGCAACAATTTCCCTTATGGTGGTATAATTATTGTACTCATCACTGTTACTTTCTTGAGCTCACAAGACTTTTTTTCTGTGTCTTTATTTATTCCGCAAGTTCGTAATTGTGAATACTCGCTGTTCATGAAGCGAGCTACTAGTATGTCACTCGTGAAACCGGCTCTAACTTTTTTACAGCAAAATGGTATATGAAGCATGTCTGAAGTAAAAATTGCATGGTCCATATAATATTAGTGACTTTGCCTTATCATACCGAGAAGGCGCTACGCCTATCAAACGACCTATCAGAAGCACATTTAGTTGCTGATAGTGAATGTGTAATGCAGACTAATACATGCCTCTTATGGATTGTCAGTTAAGCGTGGAAAACTATTCACCCTTCTCAGCATTGAACGCAATCTCCTGCAGTTCGTTTGCTTTTCTTTTAAAGCTTCCCAAGGCCAGGACCAACCCCCAAGTAAGTGGATCAATACGAAAGCTTAAAAGTAAACCCAATACAAGTACACCATGATAAAACTTTCAACATAAATGTAAGACTGATCTAAAAACTTCAGCAAGTTCTGAACGAAGTAAAAGCAGCTGAAGCGTCGGATTGGATTAGAAACTGAGACATTTATTGGCGCGTCAAATAGCGGAACTTACTTGCAAAACATCGATCGAACCTTCCCCAGCAAACCACATGGAGATCAAAAACTTGGGTGTTCAATGTAAAATAGAAGCGCTGCTCTTTTCCAAAGGGGTATTTCACTTCAGTTTGCGCCCATGCTATATACCTGTAACGCTATCGGATGACTTCCAAAATGTTTATACCGGATAGGATAAACATGGTCACACAAGAAAAATAAAGTTTATCCTGCAGGGATAAAAGAAAGGTCTTCCGAAAAGGATTTTATACCGAATAAACATGTTTACTCACTTTATTCGTTTGATTCGCTCCAAGCTTCTTGGTAAACGCGTCTAATTTGACTTAGTTGTACTTCTGAAACTCGGTAGTTATGTAATTTGAATATTATATATAAAATCATTCGACGTTGGGTGGCATCTGTACTAAGAGGTAAGATATAACCTCTGATATGATGACTGAATTGATCGCATTCCCCATTTAATGGCTTGTCGGTTTCTTGTAATAACACCATACCAACGGCACTGGTTTCTGTCGTACTCGCGGCTGTTCTTCTTCGG